CGCCATGTTCTTTAGACTGAACTGTCGCGCTTCTCGTTGCGTCACACCTCAACCCGTTCCCCTTTAATACATAAATTTAAACCAAACATTTTTATTACTAAAAGGGAATGCAATATATTAACAAAAGGTACAAGTCAAGACTTTTTCATTAAGTTATAATATGTCCAAGAAATCCATCAAAGCAAACAGATCGGTTACCTAGGCTTGTCTTCGTGTGCGTGCGTCACTTTCATCCACCCTTTCTTCTGTACGTTAAACAGCCAGGCATCATCTGACAAATCAGTAAACAAAGTGTTATCATTCCTACTAAAAAAAGTAAATAAATCTATCAGATGACCAAAGAGTTTGTTTTTTTTTATTTTTTATTTTACACACTGTAACTTAACAGTCTTCGAGTGAGTTTAGCTTACTTAGTGTGTTTCCATCCACGCCAAGACCACCGTATATGAAGATGGTTTGGTCTGATATGGAGCTCATGGTGTGCATGGAGCGCCCCAGAGGTGCACCAGAGGGGAAGATGTCACTGAGGATACCAGAACAATAAAGGCACTGAATGCACATGCCGGGAATTTCATTAACAGTCACAGCCAATGTGCAGGAGGATTTACAATCGACTCCAAGTCCAGGTCTCTAGGTCCAAAGAGAAAATGTCCAACTCTGCAGTTTCCTGCAGACAAACAGACGGCCATTTTATTTTAGCAGCATAAGGGGAACTGTTCATTAATCTCCTGCTAACAGATGGCATTTTTTCAATAACAGGAACATTAACAGGGTCTAGCTTTGGGTAAAGGTGATCCAGTCAAACTCTGAATTTATCTCAAAGATGCTGGAGGTGATGGGGCAAGAGGCATGCTCCCACAAGCTCAAAGAACAGCCATTTATCACAGGATCTGCGTTTGTGCAAAGGGCCCACTGTCAATCACAACAGGAAAGAGCTACTGAAAGAGGAAAGGGCTTTACCCAAACTGTCCCTGCAAAGGAGGAAGTCTTATCCTATACAGTGCTATCTTAAACATCAACGCATGCTGCAGCAGGAATGCTTTCCAAGAAAAGGAGCAGCTAAAATATTTCAGGGAAGAGAAGGGTGCTACACTCAGTTTGTCCACAAACTCACCACACCACCAGTAATGTAACCTTTGTTCCCCAGCAGAGCACTGGCATGGCAGCCTCTGGGAGTAGGAGCAGGACCCTGGATGAGGGAGGAAAAAGGAAAAAAAAGTTAATGTCTATATCTCCAGAGGACAAGAAGAGCCTGATGGTAATAAAACTCCAACAGAAAATGTAGATTTTATCAGCCTTCTAAACTTCAATTAAAAGCAAAGACTTACATTTCAACATTCATTTAACTTATTTACTCCATTTTAACCTCTAATATAAAGAATATTAGAGCCTATGTAGCTGTCAGCTTGTTTTTTAGTATCAGCATATCAGATCTAGGCCAAAAATCCAATATCATGCATCTCTAATTAAAGCCCAAATAGATGCATTTATTTATGCAGGAATGCACCACGTTATCTCTCACCCGAGTCTCAGGTGTGCTCCAAGTGGAGGAATGCGTGTCAAAGACACAGACCTCATTGTTCCATCCCCAACAACGAAACAAAGTGTTTCCAATTGTTGCCTAAAAGTATAAAGAGGAAAACTTCGATTGATTATATTACTTTAAACGATAAATGGGGAGCTCTGCCACCCTCCCTGTTTACCCAGGACATCTCCTCCACAGTAAAGCTTGACGATGATGTGCTCTGTACCTCCCCTATCGTCTTGCAGCCATATCCTCCAAAGTAGATCAGCCTGCAAGAATAACCAGTTTCAGTCAGTTCCAATTTTCTGATATCTCTTAAAGGAATACTGCATAAAATGAAATATTGGGACTTTGAGGAGCCAGTGAAGCTCAAGCGATTGATCTTGCTTGTCTACTTCCAGGTTCCCCAAATCAGAATAAAAAAATGAATAACTATTTGAAAAAAGTTTAATTCCTTAAAGAGAGCAATACATTTATAGATTTTATTAACATATATGCCTTTTTAAAATGATGAAAACCCAAACCTTAGTTTCTCAAAAAGAAATAAATATTGTACAGGACTGATGATAGGACTCCTAATACATTGTTAGGGCAATGACACCATTAGAGCGAAGTCTGATGAAAAGACAATTGACTACAGGTATATGTATTGACAACTTGGAAAGTTAAGTGGAAGAAAAACAAATATTATAAAAGAAAAGGTTGATAACCTACAGAAAAGAAAAAAATCCTCTCAGATTTTGCAGTCTAAAAATGGAGCTAGAGTTAAACTAATGCATTCTAATGCATGAGTCTGTTGTCCAAAGTCCATATTTTTAAAACTCAGGATTAAATATAATTCTGTATTTTCTAAGTCAACTGAACGTCCCCTTTTAGTTTGTAAAGGAGCGGAGATTCTCCTTTTCTTTGCCATTATATAATCCTCTCATCTCTCAGGGATCTCCAGCACATCCACCACCAAAGAGCTGACATGGACAGAAGGTGGGTTATGGTGCCTCCAATGAAGAATTAAAAACCTGAGAATTGGAGGAGCAGCATCTCCTGGTTCCTCTGTGGTACCTTTACTGGGATGGACTCCCAAGTTAACCCCAATGCTAACCACCTTAGCTCTACAGAATGTGGACACAACAGCCAAACTGACATTTCTCATTTGCCTTCATCTGCTCCCTGCATCACACTCAAAATTACCAAGAAAAATAAATTAAGTTTAGATAGATCATCTCTCTAGAAATGATTCCGGATCAAATGGGTTTCAGTTTTCCTTTTATCATTGATATAAAAATTTAGTTTTCATATATGCATTTTTGATTAAATAAGGGTTATCCAAGGTGGAGTTCCTCCAGATGGAACTGACCTGCCTCTGTGCACCCAGCAGGAGTGTTTGTTCCGGGGTGAGGGTGTCGTTCCCTTTGTGTCGCTGAGCCTCGTCCAGGAGCAGCACGGCTCAACTACGTCAACGCTGTACATCTGCAAACACAAATAAAGCTCATCATTCTTAAAATTAGAAACAGCTTAGTTGTTTGAGTAAAAAAAAAAGAAAAAAAAAAGGCTTTATTATCAATTTAGAGACATTAACACAAGAACCATTTGGCCTTTTTCTTTTATATATATAAAAAATACAGTTCTCCTTTCAAACGATTCTCAAATGTCCAGACAGAGTGGTTTGAGAATAACCACATTTCTAAACCAAACACACAGAACTTAAAAGAAAAATACACAAAACCAGGAAAAAGGTAATCCATTTTCTACAAAACTTATATAAATCATAACAGCCTG